ATGGGATTGCTGGGTCAAATGGTATTTCTAGTTGTAGATGCTTGAGAGGAATCGTCAGACTGTCTTCCACAATGGTTGAACTAATTTACACTCCCACCAGCAGTGTAAAAGTGTTCCTATTTCTCTACATCCTCTCCAGCATCTGTTGTTTCCTGACTTTTTAATGATCACCATTCTAACTGGTGTGAGATGGTATCTCATTGTGGTTTTGATTTGCATTTCTCTTATGACCAATAGTGATAAGCTTTTTTTCATATATGTGTGTTGACCGCATAAATGTCTTCTTTTGAGAGGTGTCTGTTCATATCCTTTGCCCACTTTTGGATGGGGTTGTTTGCTTTTTTCCTGTAAATTTGTTTTAAGTTCTTTGTGGATTCTAGATATTAGCCTTTAGTCAGAGGGATAGATTGCAAAAATTTTCTCCCACTTTGTAGATTGCCTGATCACTCTAGTGATAGTTTTTTTGTTTTGGTTTGGTTTTGCTGTGCAGAAGCTCTTTAGTTTAATTAGATCCCATTTGTCTATTTTGGCTTTTGTTGCCATTGCTTTTGGTGTTTTAGTCATGAAGCCCTTGCCTATGTCCTGAATGGTATTGCCTGGGTTTTCTGCTAGGGTTTTTATGGTGTTAGATCTTATGTTTAAATCTTTAATCCATCTGGAGTTAATTTTTGTATAAGGTGTAAGGAAGGGGTCCAATTTCAATTTTCTGTATATGGCATCAGTTTTCCCAACACCATTTATTACATAGGTAATCCTTTCCCCATTGCTTGTTCTTGTCAGGTTTTTCAAAGATCAGATGGTTGTAGATGTGTGCTGTTATTTCTGAGGTCTCTATTCTGTTCCATTGGTCTGTATATCTGTTTTGGTACCAGTACCCTGCTGTTTTTCTTACTGTAGCCTTGTAGTGTAGTTTGAAGTCAGGTAGCGTGATGCCTCCAGCTTTGTTCTTTTTGCCTAGGATTGTCTTGGCTAGGTGGGCTCTTTTTTGGTTCCATATGAAATTTAAAGTAGTTTTTTCCAATTCTGTGAAGAAGGTCAATGGTAGCTTGATGGGGATAGCATTGAATCTATAAATTATTTTGGGGCAATATGGCCATTTTGATGATATTGAGTCTATCCATGAGCATGGATTGTTTCTCCATTTGTTTGTGTCCTCTCTTATTTCCTTGAGCAGTGGTTTGTAGTTTTCCTTGAAGAGGTCCTTCACATCCCTTGTTATTGTATTCCTAGGTATTTTATTATCTTTGTAGCAATTGTGAATGGAAGTTCACTCATGATTTGGCTCTCTGTTAGTGTATAGGAATGCTTGTGATTTTTGCACATTGATTTTGTCTCCTGAGACTTTGCTGAAGTTGCTTATCAGCCTAGGGAGATTTTAGGCTGAGATGATGTGGTTTTCTAAACATACAATCATGTCATCTGTAGACAGAGACAGTTTGACTTCCTCTTTTCCTAATACCTTCTATTTATTTCTTTTTTCTTTCTCTTGCCTGATTGCCCTGGCCAGAATTCTGAATACTATGTTGATTAGGAGTGGAGAGAGAGGGCATTCTTGTGCCAGTTTTCAAAGGGAATGCTTTCTGTTTCTGCCCATTCAGTATGATATTGGCTGTGGGTTTGTCATAAATAGCTCTTATTATTTTGAGATACGTTCCATCAGTACCTAGTTTATTGAGAGTTTTTAGCATGAAGTTGTGTTGAATTTTGTCAAAGGCCTTTTCTGCATCTATTGAGATAATCGTGGGTTTTGTTATTGGTTCTGCTTATGTCATGGATTACGTTTATTGATTTCCGTATGTTGAACCAGCCTTGCATCCCAGGAATGAGGCCTACTTGCTCGTAATGGATAAGCTTTTTGATGTGCTGCTAGATTTGGTTTGCCAGTATTTTACTGAGGATTTTCGCATCAATGTTCATTAGGGATATTGGCCTGAGTTTTTTTGTTGTTGTTGTGTGTCTGCCGGGTTTTGGTATGAGGATGATGCTGGCCCCATAAAATCAGTTAGGGAGGAGTCCCTCTTTCTCTATTGTTTGAAATAGTTTCAGAAGAAATGCTACCAGCTCCTCTTTGTACCTCTGATAGAATTGGGCTGCAAATCCATCTGGTCCTGGGCTTGCTTTGTTTGGTAGGCTATTAATTACTGCCTCAATTTTAGAACTTGTTATTGGTTTATTCAGGGATTTGACTTCTTCCTAGTTCAGTCTTGGGAGGGTCTATGTGTCCAGGAATTTATCCATTTCTTCTAGATTTTCTAGTTTATTTGCATAAAGGTATTTATAGTATTCTCTGGCGATAGTTTTTATTTCAACACAGTATACTTCTAAATCATAAACTATACTTCTTTTTTGTCTAGGACATTTGCAGACAAACTGGCAGGGCAAATTATACTATTTTAGGTAGCTTTTTATACTGGGATCTTGACTTACTCAGGTTCTCTTTCTCTGTAAGTGGAGTATCTGGCCAGAATGAATTAGAACAGCACTTTTGTGGCTTGTACATGAACACTCATTTTCATTTCTTGGACTCTGAGCCTCAATTTCTCATTCAAGTGGAGAAAGCATAACACAAGAATATGGTGAATACTATTTTTCATCTCATCAATGGAGAAGTAAAAACTATTGTATCTAATTTCTCCAAAAACACAGGAAAATACTGCACTTTGAATAGTATTTTGTAGAATATTTTAGTTACTTTCTCAATGGTATATATTTTAAAAGCTTAGACCGTATTATAAATTCATGGCTTTGCCACAGATTCTTAGGTTCAGTTACCTTTCTAATTGAACCAATTAACAAAACAAAATACACATTCAAATGAAACATGTATCTGAACCATTTAGGAATAATTAAAATTATAGATCAGGTTTTCTTTCACTGATCACAAATCTTGGTAATGCTTTTGTGGTTCTCATTTCCGGGCTCACTTTGGTGTGTTTATTAAAGCACAGTATTGTCAGATCACAGGGAGTATCTCATTTTCATTTTCATATCTCCAATTCTAAAGGGGATTAAATTATCCAATTAAGCTGTTAATTAAAAAGACTCCTACAGAATAAACTGCAGGTTACCAATGGCATTTTCAATTTCCATTGTCCTGTGCTCAAAAGCAATTTTATAAATTGAGAAGAGCTCAAAGTTACTGCCCCATACTTCACTTTATAAGGTGTGGCTGGGAATGCTCCCCGAGAGCTAAACCCATTTGCTCTTCATTCTGGGCACACAGCTAGACTACATGTCTCAGCCTCCCCTACAGTTTTAGATTTGGCCAATGGAATATGAGCAGAAGTAATGCGGACAACATTCAGGACAATCCCAAATCTTCCACTCAATATCTTCCATGGCCTTTTTCCCTCCACTGGCTTCTTACAGATGACCATACATTCAATCATGTGTTGAAAATGGCAGAACCATAATATGGAAGGAGTCTGGGTCTCTGAGTCACCGGTTAGAGGAGAAAAACTCAGTGATCATTAATACCCATTATGTATGTAATGAAAACAAGAAATAAACTGGGTTAAGCCATTGAGATTATCTGTTTCTACAGCTAGTGTGATCTTAATAAAGAAAGCAAGTGAACTTGAGGCACATGCAAATATATTAAACCTAACTGGAAACAGCCTCTTGCAAATTTTGATCAGGTCCACTTAGATACATATTTTAAAACCTAAGCAAACTCATTACCTCTTGGTTCTCATAAAATTACATAGACCACAGCAAGAAAAATTCTACACTTCTTGCCTTCTTTGTCCCAAAGCTCCTCCTTCCAGTCCACATCCCAAAGATCACTCATAAACACTCATTTATATGCATCTTTCCTTGTGCCACTACCGTATACACAAAAATTCTCATTTCGTGGATCAGCTTGGAAAGTAGAATAAACTCTCCAAGAGGGGCACAAACAGGCCATAATCAGCTACTTATTACCCACAACCTCTGTGTCATCTGATGTCCATTTCCTGTACATGATGATATGATCTACTACACAGATGGGCTGACCTAGGATACTGCAAACTAGTACTTTTCCAGATCTTTGAACATATCAGTGCCAGAATAATCAACAGGGGACTCAATCCGCACTCTCAGCATAACCCTAAAAGACACCACAGAGAAATCAATATAAATTATATTATATGCCTCTGGATTTGTTTGAACTCAAGGAGGTAGTCGGGCTTGCAGAGTCCCATACTACTCATTGTCTAAGGGTCACCAGGCACTTCTAGTTCTCTGAAAGTGCACTGGGTAAAGAGGCTCCAGTAGCATGAGGGCAGCCATCCTAGAGGGCACAGCCAATTAGAAACAAAAGCAGACCGAAGATGAGGTAAGGGCACCCAGTAAAAGGAATTTGCTGGAATCTCCATAGAGAAAACACCAGTAGTATCCAACAGACAAAAGTTGAATAATTCTCTGTGTTTCACATCACAACATGAAGTATTTATATATCATTATCACTCAGTAGGGTAATTGAAACAGTTTATATATTCCCATCTCCCATGTTAGACTAGACTGTTCACTGAGGCCCAGACAGTGTATATTATCCACCTAAATATAGCTAGTTTGGTGATTTAAATATAATGGGTGCTCAGTTACTGTGTGCTGAATGAATGACTAGAAACTAACTGGATCATTAAAGAATGATAACACAGATTCTTTGATTTGATAGTAACAGTGATGTTCACTGTCACTTTTGTGAGATCAGCCCTGTCCCCTATCATCGTTGATAATTTCTTCAGAGGCATCTCTTTTTCTCTATAGAAATATTATTACAAAGGCAGTAAACCACATCTGCTGACTTACATTCTGGAAGAAAATATAATGACAACCTCGTAAATACTTTCTTGTCTATGAAGAAAATTACTGCATTCAAATCCCACTTTTCTAAGCCAAGAAAGCTAGTATAGTACAGTTATTGTACACTGTTTTTGGCAAATGTTGTCTAAAACAGGACAAAATATGTTAATAGATCTAACACATTTTAATATTTTTAAAAAAGAAACAAAGCCTTCAACCAACTTTTTATTGTACTTAAAGTGACTGTTCCATTGTTTCATAAGTAGGAGAAGAAAATACAACCAGTCTCACAATAACCATTTAGATATAAAATGCAGAATCCAAGAATACCCTTCTTCAAACCAGAGGGACACCGTCACTGGTGAAGAGAATATTGTTGTATGAAGTAATCGTATATTCTTCCATAATTTAATATGCAACTGAGGCCTTATGTTAAATGTATCCAGGAAGAAGCCTATCAAATGTTAAGTGATTACAGAAATACTGATTGAATAAATGTATTTAGAAATGGGATAACCTAAGGGATGGAGGTTAATCCACAGGTCAGTAGACCAAAGGCCAAAGACTGCCTTTCCTTCCTGTGGGATACTTGACAAGAAATTTCAGGCTTCTCCACTTCTCTGGCACAAGCATAATCTGTCTGGCAAGCCATAGCTCCTAGCTGCTGCTTAGTGATGCTCCAGGGCTAAATAAGATAAAATTTATGTGCTATGCTTTAAGCTCCATTGAGGCAAGGCACTAAATAAACTTCAGGATAATTTATGAATCCTATGTTTGCATTAGTTATGTCCAAGTCCATCGCATAAAATGAATAAATGAGAACAGGAGGCCAATGACGAGCACTTGGTGAAAGGCTCAGTACACTTTGGGCAATGGTGATGAGCCCAAATAAAATCACTTTATACCTAGAAAATTTTTTACTAATCTAGGAGATTTTCACACACACACAAAAAAGACCTAACTAACTCCTTCCAATGCCCAGACAATAGTTCACTGGCAGAACATCTGGTGTGTGAATAAGAGAACTGGAGCCCTAGTCTGAGATCCAACATCTAATTTCCTTTTAATTTACCATAATTATTTTTGTAAAACTTTATGGCTCTACTCCAATGAATGTGCTTAGCAAGGATTGCCAAAATCCTGTCTTCTCTTCAGAGCCACATCCATAGGCCAGCTTCTTCCTACTTTTTTCTTTCTCTTCCAGTTGCATTTTACCTTTCTCTTTCTGCCAGTTAATCAGTGTCTGTTTATCTTAGCAATCTGTATCCAAGAGAAAGGACAATGAGAATGTGATTGGAAGAGTTAAACATAAGCATATATTTGGAAATTCAGTCCTTCTAATTGTTCTAGCTAGTAGTGATGATTTGGTATTGCTGCTTTTCGTTTGTTGTTTTGTTTTAGTTTGTTTTAGTAATGGACAGCCTATCTGCAATTTTTGGTATAACTGAATTACAGCAATTAAAGTTAATCAGGATAAGAAAACCTTCTCATCTAGAAACTGTGAGGGCCCCAACTAATCACCAACCAGTTTTGCTAAACCAACAAACAACTTAATGTCTATTTCTGAAGCCATAATTCTATGCTTTTATCAAACACTTTCTCTGACCTGCAGGAATGTGTTTGTTTTTTTTTTTTTGAGTTTATAAAGGAAATCTAGAAGAGAAACACTATTCATATTAGCATAATAAACCTCAGCTGGTTTTAAACACCCAAGTGCAGGAATAAAACAAAGAGAATCTCATGTGTCTAAACCAAGGCAGAATCCTTCCTCCAGAGAAGACACGTACATTTCCAGCACCCCTAACCTAATACTGCTTGTTTTTAGAAATACAAGCTAAGGTCACATGAAGCCAGGTTAAGAGGAGGAAAAGGTAGCTGCCCTTCACAAGTTTATCCATTCAGAGAGGAAGAAGTCAAGGTGAAAATTGCTCTCCTCTGACTAATGCAGTATAATTGTTTCCTCATGATGGTGCCCCTCCATTTTTCTCCCTTCAGATGTTCCCATGGCTACAAAAGGACATGGCACACACTTATATATTTTTAAAAAATCGCAAATGACAGGGATACACAATGGCTTCCTGTGGTTAATCTGAATTTGTCATTTTGCTTCAGAGATTTTCCAATTGGCCCACTTAACCCAGTAGCTTATGTATAACGAATAATGTAAAGGGAATGCAGGGATGCCTATTTTAAGAAACCAGAAATGCCAGGTAACAACTTTAAGGCCATTACAATTTTATCCTACACACACACACTCTCTCTCTTTCTCGCTCACTGATAAGAAACAAAGTGGTTCACTTGTCAGAATAATATATGACTTGAAGAGTAACAATTATGTTTATTTGGACTATGCAGGTAATTTTAAGTTGAATCAATAAATTCTAAAATGTCATCTAGAAATTTTTCAAAAAGGTTTTTTTGAAAGAGAGGTAACATTAAGCTGAAACAGAAGGGCTCTTTTCTCCTCAATGCAATGTTTGTTTGTTTTTTTGCACTAAAGGGAAATGAAAGTCATATGTTCCTAATGGGGAAATCAGAAAATTCTTTTCTCAAATCTGCTCATTTCAGAACCAGGACAATGCACACATAGGAAGGTTATGAAACCAACAAGAATTAGGCTTTTAAAAAAGTATCTGGCACATGGGCAATCAATGCAGTTCATACAGATGAGACAAAATTTTATCTCCTAGTTTCCCTGCTGTTATGTAACGAGGAGGTTTTACTTATTCTGGGACCTAAAGATACATCTTCATTCCCTTTTTTCTATTTAATAAACTCAAATCCTTTACCTAGTAGCCTTTCTGCCAGCTTTGTTCATGCTAACTTGAACGGGGCAATCTGCTACATCAGATGCAAGCTGTAAGACACGTTTTTGTTCCAATAAACTCCAAAGCTAAAGGTAAGAACTTCATCAAAAATTGCAAAATGGAGATCAAACATATTTCTCATTTAACTACCTTAGAGTTGAGAAATGTTGTATAATTACTGTCCATAAAATCTTGCACTGCATTCCACAGAACAGCAAGACCTCCCAGGTATTCATGCACATGTCTTCATCATTGAGATGTTACAAGTTTAATAGATTGAACTTTAAACAAAGCTACAGATTGAAATGGTATGTACCCCATAACTGTGGCTAACACATTAAAATGGACAATAGCAACAATTAAGCAGATAGCATTTTAACAAAAGTAGCCTAGAGATTTTTGTTGGTTTGGTTTTCTAAAGAAACATACATGGTTCATTCTTGTATTCCATTTTATAAGCCCTACAGCTTTGAACAGATACTGTCTAGATCCAAGCAGGTCATCTACCCAATAATGAAAATGCACTGCAACTGAAAGTCTTCAGGCCTAAAGCAATGGGCGATGACGGCTCAGTGCAGCCTCCGCTGGCACTGTGCAACTGTCTCAGGATGCCATAAACCAGTGTCACAGCTACCAGAGTCGGCAGGAGTCCATGTCTCTGTTCATTGTTGAATTGGGTGGACAGTTAAAAGCTTTCTGGAATTCTTCGAAGTTACTAATTGCACCATTCACCCTGAAAAAAGATACGTCAAAGCATGTGTCATGTGATTCTTGCACATGAACAGGTTCTGTATAAAACTGTAGCAGAATATTGCTAAAAAGAATGCTGGCATTCTTGCGATCTGTTTACAGGCAGAGAACTGAAGCCCAAAATAATTAAGTACATTTCCAAAAAGATTAACAGACTAGAACCAGCATCTCCTGAATGCCAAGCAAATGCTCCTATTACTCTTCCAACAGTCTTCAAATTCTTATAAAACTGTATCATCACCAATACTTAGTTTTTCTAACTAACTTTTAAAAAACTTTAATTCTTTATGGAAAGTATGACATAAAGTACACAAAATATTAAATGTAGAACTTGTGGGGTTTTTGTGTGTATATGCCCATATTACTTTCTGCCAGATCAAGACATTCCAGCACCCAGAAGGCTCCCACCTGTCCCAGACCAACAGCATCTCCAAAGATAACCAATATTCTGACCTCTATTGCCATAGCCTTGCCTGATTTTGAACTTCATGTGAATGGAATCCATAGTATGTACTGTTTGGTCTTTGACTTTTTTCACCAAATGTAAATGTCTGTAAGAGTCATCCATGATGTTGCATTTCCAGCTATTTTTTAAAAATTCATTCGCTCTACAAAAACATTTTCTCAGAATTAGTGTTAGGTATGGAGACTCATAGTTGCCCAGAATTTGATTAATGCATGGTATCTAGTTATTACTGACAAGTAATTCTTCACTGGAGTTAGTTCCAATATAACACATTCTTATAGGTTTCCAACTACAGTGAAGAGTGGATTCCTACTCAGCACTTTGCCTGTAGCTGCCTTTTGGAAGTGGTATTATCATTGTGTGATTTCTGCTGCACTCAAAATTTACAGTTACTGCAGACATCAGTAACAAGCCAGCAAAAAAAAAAAAAAAAACTCCCCCTTCATCTATTTCTTACTCAGCTTCATGTTCAAAGGGTTGACTTAGCATTCTCAGTCTATGACTATTTCTTCCCTAATGACTTTGTTATCTACGGGCATTTGAATAAATGTAATGGACTGTATCCAAAAAATCCTTATAACCTCTTGTGTTTTAGCTGAATATATGGGTAGGGATGCATATTTCATAGTGTGATTCACCCTAGGCAAGTGTTAAAGATAGAATATAGCTGATAATTAGTAAGCATACACTGTGAAATTCAACATTAGAGGCAACTAGTTAAGTTTTCAGAAACTTATTTCCTTTAACTATCTGTTGAGTAATTAATCTACTGTGTGGTTTCATCTACACCATTTGTCAGTGGAAACACATTTTAGTCCATTAGAGACCGTCAGCCTTCATGACAGTTTAGCCCAGTGGGGGAGAAATTTCCAACACAATGATTAGATTTTTATGCTAGTGGGTAATTTATAGTCAATTTCTGAAGCAATTCTAAGGCAAAATCTTAGGAATAAGATTTTAAGAGAAATTTTAGATGGCTTTCTTGCAGTATGCTAATGACTTATTTAAACATTAAATATAAAGATATCCAGATATAATGTCCTAAACAAAGAGTGAATACACATAAATTATTATGGTTTCTTGGATTTCTAATGACACTTCTCTTTCCCCTAATATAGAAAATTTCTCTCAACCTACAGGAGCTACTACAGAGTGCGTAATATTAAATTTTATTTGTACTCAATGTTTTATACATTCTGACAAGACTGTAATTTATAATCCTTTTCCCTTTTTATATAAGCAACTGTTTCAAAATATGATCCAAACTGAAAGTCAAAATGTAGACTCTGTAACTCTAGATACAAATTATAATTGCTAAACAATACCATATATCCTCCTTTGTGTTCAGAGCTATTAGAAAGAGGGCATTCATTCATGTTTGATGGTTGACTGTGTGAAAGAACAAGAGGTATTAAAGGGGATATTCTTTAAAACAAAATAAACCAGAGCTCTAGGTGGTTTTAAGGCAGAGTACATCAGATATCATCCTTTCCTAAGACAATAAAGGCTATTTTTTTTGGACCAAAAAAGCAACCATTTGAATACTTCAGTTTACTGAGATTCTTTCAAAAACTATAGGATAACAAATGGGATTTAATACTAAAGCTATGATTTGGATTCCAAATTACCTTTGGAGTGCTGTACAGTCTCATGGGCCCCTGATGTAGCAGCAGACTAGAGATATGTACAAGTACCCACCTGCAGAAATTCAGTTGAGAGACTGCTGACTAAACCAGCTTACTACTAATGAAAGAAAAGATACTTAGTTTCTGTGTGGCCAGATAAGTTTTTGGCTGCAAAATGGAAATCATACAGTTCACAACATGGGATTTTTTTAGCTCACCTATCTGGTAGAGCCCTTGGATGGCTGGGTGGGGGAGGAAGTGGGGAGATGCACAGGTAATAACTGCCGTCACCCATTTACCTAAACTGAGGGGGGCTGTGAGCACCAATTTGGACTTGTTCTCGGGCAGCTTCTGGTCTGTAGGAATTGCACCTCACCTAGAAGAGAAACGCATGGCAACAAATGAACTTCCATTCCAATTATGTATTTTCTACTGTCTTAACTGCTCCAAATTATACTAAAGAATAATTTTAGATTCAATGGATGACAAACAGTTTTAGTAGATCAAATAAAATCGTCATCAGTAACAACATCTATTATTCTGATCCCCAGAGTAGAAGAAGGTTTTATCAGTGTGAATAATTTCACTATTTGAGTACATTAGAAAGGTTTCCAGACAAGTGCTTTAAATGAAGAGAATTGTATATGTGCCTAGGAATTGATCAGTGTAGTCATTCAATGAATTTAATGTTTGAAATAGTCCTCCTCAAATTTCACCATAGTCATTCAAATCAATAAAATGAACCAGCCACCCATTATTGAGGATGGTGATGAGAATTAGTAGTCTGCCCCCCTAAGCGCCTTGCTTGCTTCACCCTAGTCTAGGCCTCGGATTCTCCATCTCCTTTGAAGTTGGGCATGGCTAGAATGCTTGCCTCTGGCCTGTGAAGTATGAGCAGAAGCGTTAAAAACCTAACCGAAGTTTTAAGAGACTTAAGATGCTACATAAATGGCCAGTGCACATTTCTTTTCCACTCCTGTGGTATCCGTGGAACCACATGTCAAGAAATAGACTCTAAAACCAGAGTCTGGCTCTAACTCAGGTTGGAGTGCAATCGCAGCTCACTGAAACCTCCAACTCCTGGCTTCAAGCAGTTCTCCTGCCTCAGCCTCCCAAGCAGCTGGGATTACATGTGCATGCAACTACGCCCAGCTAGTTTTTGTATTTTTTTAGTAGAGTCGGGGTTTTACCATGTTAGCCAGGGTGGTCTCGAACTCCTGACCTCAGGTGATCCACCCACCTTGGCCTCCCAAAGTGCTGGGATTACAGGCATGAGCCACCACCCCTAGCCCAAAACCCAAGTTCTTGAGTTAAAAACTAAAAGAGCCACACTGCTGATTCATGTTAGACACGGAGAGTAAACAAGAAATAAACTTCTGTTGTGTTGCTTCTGCAACGTAACCTATTTTATCCTGACTTGCCATGTGACTTGAGATACGATATGGTCTTAAAGGATGAATTGTACCAGAACACATAAATATGGAAAAAATATTCTAAGTGGAGGGGGAAATGGGAACAAAGATTTGGTTGAGAGGAAACAGAACAAGACATTCAGCTAGGCGGCATATATGGTGCGTAACAGGCTGCAGGGGGAGAGGAAGGACAGTGTCAGATTTCTGAAGTCCTGAGCAATTGGCCAGAGTGTTTAAACTATAGTTAAAAGTCATTCTTGAGCAGGGACATAATAAAATCCAGATTTTTAAAAGATTTATCTGGTAGGGGTGTATAGTAGGAGGAAGAAATTAGAGACTAGTTAGATTATTTATAGATACCAGGAAGTTTCTTAGTGGATATCCACTTAATAAGTAGAAAATAGAATGGAAAGAAGAGAAGGATTAGAAGAATATCTGAGAAAAATGACAGGTCACAGCAACTACAGGAATATGGAAAGCAGGAAAGGTCATACAATGCTGTTGCTTTTGATGAAGATAAACCACCAGTCACAGTGGTTCTGAATTTGACTTTAAAGGTGTTTTGTAATGTGATTCCTTAATTTCCTCAGAAGCTAGCTAATGTGAAGTAGTTTCTGGCATTTGATTTTACCTCATTTCTTATGTCATTTCTTCTTATAGTCTTACATTATAATATAGTATTGTCTTTGCTTCATATATCACTTAAGAGACTTCTGAAAACACATTATAGCTGCTACTGTTTTCTTAGTACCTTCCCAGGAGGGAAAGTAATTTTACTCCTTAGAAGCAGACTTACTTTAAAGTGTAAAAGATTGAAAATCTCCTCATTCTGTCAGTGGGAAAAACTCCAAGATAAATTTCTCACTAGTGACATAAAATAGCTTTCCACTTTCTCTTCAGTTTAAAATAAATCAGAAATAGTTTGGTATTATATCTGGAAACATTTCAAAATTATAAGTAACATCGCTATCAATTAGTTTATTTTATCTACAAAGAAATATTGTGGACTAAGATGTAAATGGTAAGAACTGATAGATCACTGTACTTTGTCCTCTAGAGCAGGGGTCAGCAAACTTTTTCTGGAAAGAGACAGATGGCAAAAATTTTAGGCTTTGAAGACTATAAAGTCCCTGTTTCAACTATTCAACCATGCCACTGTAGCACGAAACCAGCCACAGATCAGTGGCTGCTTTCCAATAAAACATTATTTACAAAAACAGGCAGGAGGCCTCATTTGGCCCTATAGTTTGCCAACCCAACTCTAGAAAATTCTATTTTTTTGTATACTTATTTTAGATATCTGACCCAGTACTGACCCAAAAGGGAGTCTCCTTAGTTGAACTATTAGTCTTATTCCTTTCAAGCAATTGATCTAAAAATATCAAGTGTCTTCAAAATGCCCAGCATCTTTGCTGGGTGCTGTGGAGATACATAGGAAGTGTAAAGATCCAAAAGATTAGCTGTGGAAATAAAACTAAAATTCTTGAACATTTAGAGAGCAGTTAAGTACTCAACTGCATGGTAATGAAAGTAAGTGTAAAAGGAATTGAAGATAAAAGAAAATAATAAGGACTGGAGGAGTCTTTAGGGAAGAGTTTACTGAAGATGGATCCTGAAGGATGAAGCTCAGATTGAATAGCCATCTGAGGGGGACAAAAGTAGGAAAGGTTGTATTATAGAAGGAGAATCAGAAGCAAAGCCAAAGAGACAGTAATGGGCATGACATTGCAGGGTGGAAGTGAGGATACTTGCCTAGCTAAGGCTGAGTTTTTTTCTCACCCAGTGGAGTTATGGGAAGTTGAAATGGGTTGGGTGGAGTCGGATCATACTGAAAATCTGGGAAGCCAGATGGAGGTGTTTGGCTTCAATGTGGTAGGCATTTGAGAGCCACTGGAGTTCTCTCAGCAGGTTGGTAATGAAATAAAAGTGGCATTTCTGAGGTAAGTGAAACAGTGGTTTAAAAAAAAAAGTGCTGAAGTCAGATTAACATTCTGTAAGGCTGTTGGGATGATCCAGAGTAGAGGATATTAAGATTATGACTATATATGATGAGATAGGGTAATGGGGATGCTATGGACTAAATGTTTCTGTCCCCTCAAATCAATGCTATGGTATTAGGAGATAGGCCTTTGGGAGGTAAGTAAATCATGAGGGTGAAGCCCTCATGAATGGGATTAGTACACTTATAAGAAGAGGCCAGAAGAGCTAGCTAGCTCTTTCCACCTTGTGAGGACACAGAAGTTGGCAGTGTGCAACCCAGAAAAAAAAGCCCTCACCAGAACTCAATCCTGCTAGCACCCTAATCTCAGACTTCCAGCCTCCAGAACTGTGATAAATTTCTGCTGTTTATAAGCCACATAGTGTATGACACTTTGTTATAGCAGCCCAAACTGCCTAAAACAGGAGAGAAAATATCAAATCTGAAAAGCATTTAAAAGTATGAGACATCTAGCTTCTGGAACACAAGTTACAAAAATGAGGTCTTATGTGATGCATTTATCCTAAGAATCCAGGCTTTCTAACCAGGACAATCCAAAGACTGGAAAACTAAAAGGCAAGTCATTTTGTTGATGACTAGAGTTTTGTTGACATCAGGTTGCTAAATAATAATTTATTTCATGTTTTTATATGAGCTTTAAGAAATAGAAGACCCCAGGCAAGCAAGAATCCTTTGACAAGAGTCAATTATAGAAGACTTGTAACTGAATGAGCTTATTTAGCAGTGAAAGCAAAGACTTAGCAACAAAAGGCTGTACTGATGATTTGAGCATATACATACATTTGCCCACTGTGAGGCCAGTCACTAGAACTTTTATTGAGCTGTCCATGATTCTTTAAAAAGGTTGCCTAGATGTTTATGACATAAGCCTGTGTAATAACTAATAAAGACTTGGCACTTGCCTCATTAGCCAGGGACTTAAACTCAGAACTGTGCTTCAGTTACTGCACAGCTTCCTTTCAATTTATGCTCTAAGAGCCTGTTAAACTCAAAAAAGAGTGACATGACTCTAGTTGCCTTTGTTGTTTTTCAGCTTTAGGGGTCTGTGCATATGCATTTAAGAGTTGGGAAGGTGACCCTGAGGGTCCTCCACAGGCTGAGAGTGGTGGGATAAAGTCAGCAGAGGAGGAGAAATATAGGAAAGGGCAGGCTCATGAAAGCCAAAGAACAACTTACTAGATAGAAATGGTTACAAATAGTATCAAACACATTAAGAAGTCAAGATACGTTGAGGAACTACCAAATGAATTACCATAGGGCTGGTAACCCACTTGATTTTAAAAATACAAATATACCTTGATTCAATCAGCTAATTAATTTTGTAATCAGCAAAATCAAATTCATGCCATAAAACTTTTGTTTGAAATCTTTGATCCCCTTTCCTCCGTCTACTCACATGAGCATAACTCAGGAAGAAGAGCTGGTTGTTGGTGAAAGTGATGCCTGGTAGAAGAGGCTCCTCAACTCCCTGCCTTCTGTCATTTATCCATTTCCTGTAAGCCTAGTGAGAGAACAAGAAGAGGTGAGTCTTTGCAATGGTGAGTTTTTCTCTTTTCTCAACAGTTACTCCTGCCACATGCAAAATGCATCATGTCAAAATTTTCTTTACGAAAACAAACACCTGGAAATGCAAGTCCATGTCCTATCACTTACCAGTACTGCAGGTACACCTGTAGAAAGGCCTTACACTCAATGTATACCAAAGCAGCTGGACCAAAGCATTCAGATGTTAAATAACACTTGGGAAAAAAAGCTGTTCTTTCTATTCCTAGCAGGGAACAAACTAATACAATGGCAAGACCCCTATGGCAATAATTTTGGGGTCCACATATTGCCGTTGTTTTTATTTTGCCACTTAAAAGTAGTGCCCTCCTTTTATAAAATAAAGTATATTTCAACTAGGATATAGAAAAGACATAACCGGGAGTAACAGTCCAGTCGTTAAATTGAATGCATTTAGCTTTATGAAATCTTTCTGCATTCCCCTTATGCTTGTTATTTGACCACAAACTAGCGAATGATGAAAACGTTATAATGAACCTTGCCCAGTATATGAGAACCACTACCCTCTGGCCATAACTGAGAAGTTTGATATGGTATGTACTCAATGAAAACAAATGAACCTAGCCCCAAGGAGTGTTCTGTAGCATGCTTCCATCTGATTGTGAATGTATTTTCTGAAACCTATCCTTAAAATACATGATTCTCAATAACAAACATTATTCTTTAGAGTGACTTTACACCCCAAAAAGAAAAAGAAATGTAGTTCTATTTATATAATAGGGTCAGCAGGGAGATACACTTCTATTTACAGAAATTCCATAATATCTAATGCCTCAAGAACATAACTGTGGTATGAAGTGAGGTACACCCATATGGTGTTTTATGGCTTGATTTTTAGAACCACAGCAAACATAGCAGCGCATACCCTAAAAGCTTCCCGCAGGCCTCCATTATCGGCAATATTTTCTCCCAGGGTCCTCTTCCCCTTTACCTAACCAAAAGAAAAAAGAAAAATGAGTGTTTTGTGGTCAACTATCATTCAGCAAGGGGCATAAATATTATAGCAAAAAAAGTATCAAATTTTAAAGAGAAAATTACATTCAGGAAATCAAAGATAGTCATAATTAGCCAGCTCCAATAAAATGTTAACAATATTCTGAGAGACTGTGGTTTAATGGGAAAAAAATAGGAATGTCAATATACAGGTTACTTTCTCTGATTAACTCACAGAATTTGAGTATTCTTCTCATTGCACCTGTCTTTCCAAAAATTTACCATCCACACAGGAACAAGATTTCAAGACCAACTATCATCATTTTACCTTCAGTGATTTCTATGAAAAATTAAAAGGAAAGTAGCTCTCCTAGGGAACAAAAATCAAATAGAAGTAGTGCAGATCACAAGGTCGAGGTTTGCAATATGTATGATAACCAGCCAAGCATCGTAAAGAAATTCTTCCCAATAATTCTTCCCAATATTCGAGATTGTTTCTTAAAACTTTAAATGAGCTCGGACAAAAATATTCTAAACCAATACAGCACACAAGCCAAATCCTACCTGCTGCTTGTTTTCGTACATGCTGCAAGGTATAAGACCAGATTTTACATATTTCAACAACTGGGGAAAATCAAAAGAATATTTGATGGCACATGAAAATTATGTGAAATTCAAATTTTAGTGTTCATAAATCAAGTTTTATTGGGACACAGCCATGCCCATTCATATACTTATTATCTGTAGTCGCTCTGTTGCTACAATGGCAAAATTAAATATTGCAACAGAGACCACATGCCCCACAAAGCCTAAATTATTTACTATCTGGCTGTTTATAGAAAAGTCTTTAAAGCTTTGTGTAATAGGCCAAGGAGGCCAGAGATGTCTGTGTCCTAATCCCTGGAACCTGCAAATATGTTATCTTATTCACTGCAAAGAAGATTCGGGCACAGAGGAATGGCCCCTACAAAATGAAGCTGGAAAAAAAAAGTATAGCAAAGGAGCCTTTTATTATGTGATTATGTTAAGGATCTTGAGACACAGACTTTATCCTGGATTGTCCAGGTGGATCCAGTGTAGTTACAAAAGTCCTTACAAGAGGAAAAGGGAGGCAGGAGAGTGTCACAGTGATGCAACGTGAGAAGACTCCACTGGTCATTGCTGGCTTTGAAAAAGGGAAGGGGCCATGAGCTAAGGAATGTGGCCAGCCTCTAAAAGCTAGAAAAGGCAAGGAAACCAATCCTCCCCTAGAACCTCTAGAAGGGAATGTGGCCCAGCTGACACTTTGATTTTAGGCCACTGAGATCCATGTCAGACTTCTGCCATACAAAACTACATGCTAATACATTTATGTTCTTTTAAGCGACTAAGTTTATAGTAACTTGTTAGAGCAAGCCACAGAAAACCAATATACCTTGCTTGAAACTTTCAAACCACGGATCTTACCAACTCTTTACTTTTAAGCTAGCCCAATCACCCAGGCATCAAGCAATATCAAGGCATAAAAACAAATCTTTAGAAAATATTATTCACTGAAATCATGCAGGACCCTCCTAGCTTCAGTATACAAAGGCTACCATTCCTGCTTTACATATATTCTTTGTTATCCATAATCCTATGAGGCAAGTGCTAATTATCACCATCCTTGTTCAACAATTGAGGATCTAAAGCTCAGTGTGTGTAGCAGATGTTGATACCCCACCAGATCCCCTTTTCTACCTAAACTGTGCACCCATTCCTGCAGCTGCTAACAGCTCAGACCAACCTTAGTTTATAGGAGTCACCACATTTGGAGACTTCCAGTAATTGACTGACATGCAGATCAAACAGCCCAGTCACTTGCCCCTGGGCTTAACAATTTCTGTGGTATAATTCATGCTTCAGAATCCTTTGTGGAATCAGGATGAGGCTAAATATCTCCCGAAACCAACAGGTATCCTTCATTTTATTATAGGCTTCTCCTGAAACTACTTTCTCATATAAATCACTGACCTAGGCAGGGTGTGGTCGCTCAGGCCTGTAATCCCAGCACTTTGGGAGGCCAAGGCGGGCAGACCACCTGAGGTAAGGAGTTCAAAACCAGCCTGGCCAACATGGAGAAACCCTGTTTCTACTAAAAATATAAAAATTAGCTGGGCATGGTGGAAGGTGCCTTTAATTCCAGCTCTTCGGGAAGCTGAGGCAGGAGAATCGCTGGAACCCAGGAGGCAGAGGTTGCAATGAGCCAAGATCACACCACTGCTCTCCAGCCTGGGAGACACAGTGAGATGCTATCTCAAAAAAAAAAAAAAAAAAAGCATGACCTAACGAACCCCTTCTTGGGCTCTGCTTCTAGTGAACAGAAGACAGAATGACAAAGTAAACTGCTCACATTTTCACTAGGATTCAAACACAAGCAGTCTTCTGTCTCCAGAGCCTTTGCTTCCTACTGTGCTACCTTCTCAAGTGCCAACTCCTCTTGGCTCTTAAAGACCATGATCATATTTTGATCATATTTTCCAGTTCTGCTTAAATTTTATCCCCTTCCTTTTTACTGAGTTTTTTTTTTTTTTGAGACATGGTCTGTGTCACCCAGACTAGAGCACAGTGGTGTGATCCTATCTCACTAGTGTTCAAACACTTCTTCCGTCTCAGCCTCCTGAGTAGCTAGGAGTACGGGCTTGCACCACTACACCCAGCTAATTTTTTAAAAACTGTTTTTATAGAGACAGGGTCTCCGTATGTTGCCCAGGCTGGTATTGAACTCCTAGGTTCAAGTCATCCCCCCACCTTGCCCTTCTAAACTGTTGAGAATACAGGCATGAACCACCATGCCTAGCCATTCACTCTAAGCTTTATATCTAAAAGCAAGCCTTTTGGAGAAGCCTCTCCCCTCTGGCTCCTTGAACTCTGGTCTGCCTCAGTAGACCACATGGCCCTAGGTTTCCACAACAACCAAAAGGCTCAACAGCTGCTGATAGCCTGCATCTGTGGTGCCCCATCTGAGCTCTGCCAAATTCACAACAAAGAAACATTAAAGCCCAAAGGAATAGCTCCTATAAACGAAGCCAGAAAAATGAAGCACGGCCCCTATATCCACAAAGGAAGCCACCCACTCTCCTGTGGGAATGAAACTGAAGCTGTTTTCTTATGGTTAAGTGGATTTATGCTAAGACAGGCATGGCCTTTCTATCGTCCTGGTGACAAAGGTACACATTTGTCAGAATTAAGTTTCAATCTCTCTGACACTTGGGCCAAAATAAATGGTGAAGAGCAGTCCAGCCACACATCACCCAGATATAAAATGAATTTAAAATAAGAACCTGAGCATGATATAGGGGAAGGAGTATGGACTTTGGAGTCGTACAGACATAAACTCTTATTTAGACTCTACCATGGGTTTTAATCTCTTTGAACCTCAGTTTAATCCCTTTGAACCTCATACATAAAACCTGTACACTTAGTAATAACTACACCTCTCAGGACCAGTATGAGGACACATTTGTTTCAATTAAGTCAAAAGTTTCACTCTCATGCCTGCATATGATAATCACCAGGAAATATAAATTCCCTTCCTCCAAGAAAACTGTTCTATTATTTTTGGGGGTTTTTTTAACCCAAAAAATCTTTGGCTTTGATTTTTCCTGGGATAGGGTACTAATGAGTATGTCACAAAGGATCAGGAACACTAACTGTCTTGTATTGAACACTTACTGTAGGTCAGGCATTGTGCTAATGCTTCACATTGCTTTGTTCATTTAATTCTTACAACAAAAAAATGAGTTCAGAAACACCCATTTCACAGATGAAGATGCTGAGACTCAGGAATATTAAGTAACTTGCCCAAGTTCGTAAAAACTAGTTGAATCTAGATTTGGACCCATGTCTGACTCTAGAACCCCTTTCTGCTGTGCTTTTCTTGAAGCAACATATACTTCAGATGACTCTTCACAGTGTGAAAACCCCTGCACTGTAATATAGATACACAGAAGCACCCATTTTAGGTCTTTTCAGGTCACAGTTGTAGATATTCCAAAATATATAGGCAGAGAAAAAGCTTTCCAGGACACTGATAAAATAGCTAGACACCATTCAAGGATACCGACCGGTTTCTCTGCCTGAATGAGCAGTGGTCTCACTTGGGCTGAGCATGGTTTAAGAACCAGGAGAACCAAGTCAGTGTTTATAAACATTCCCTTTAAAAGAAGCATATGGATTTTTACCTAAGTTCATCTGCAAGTATAATAGATCTGAGGCATAGCAAGGATTTAGGTATTTTTCCAGCCCCAGTAATACATCAGGACAAAGTTCCTACCTGGTTAAGGGATGACAAGGCCCCCGTCCCAAAGATTCTGATTCAGCAGGTTCCCAGGGAAGACAGATGTTGTTGATCTTGTAAATACGCTTTGAAAACCAAAGGTTTAAAGCAAGCTAATGTCCAAATGAGGAAAAATGAAACACAAGGTTTCCCCTTAGCCACAGTTGTACTCACATTTAAGCCAGCTTTCTTCCAGTAATAGTTGCTATACTGGTTAATCATACACTTTGTTTTTTCCTTAAACTTCTCTTCTGATTCAGTAGACCACCAAGGATCCAGGTTTCCATTTTTATCATATTTTCTACCTAGCAAAAAGAAATGTTCAAAGACATTTATGTTATTTATGGAAACTAAATTCATCTTTCCTTTCCCTCACCTCGACAAGCCTTCAAAAAGCAGTCATAACAGCAGGGAACACTCTTCCTGAGATCAGCTCCTGCCTTCTCTCCGATGTCACAGGTTAATTGTAAAAAGTGAAAAGGATAAAGAGAATTGAGAAAGTTCTTTCCTTCTAAGGAACACAGAGCATCTTAAAAATGAGATTCAACAATTTATTACATATACTAGTCTTACCCAATCTTGCATTCTGTGTCTTCACCTGATTTGACCCAAAATGTTCACTGGATTATGAAATAAGATGCCTAATTTAGAAAGCCCATGGAAGAAATCAGAGCATTACTACCAGTTAATTTCCAAATGATCCATAGGAATAGCCCCAGTGACTCATCCATACTGTGCGATCATAGACCCTGACTCAGCCCTATAAGAACCAGTTTCCTCCAAGTTGCCAGGAGCTGAAAGACACATAAAACCTCTGTTATGAATCATTCTACAGCCACTAGTGTCCTGCTTAGACGAGAAAGATTGCTCTAAAAAGAAAACTTGGTACAAGAATGAAAATCTCCAAATCATAATGGGAAGAAAGATTAAACATGCTTTCTTGCTATGTGCTCACTCTTCATTTTTCTCTACATCCTTTGAAACAAAATTTGAATGCTGCTAGACTGTCTTCTATATTCAAGGTTACTATGAGAATCAGAGGCAATCATTTAATTGTACAGACAGTTTACAAGAAAGTCCCCTAAGTAAAGTTGTTAATTGGAACAACCCAAAACTCTTCAGCAAGGCTGTATGCTACTAACACCACCCCCTGGGATAGTATGGAGTCACTGTCCTCACTAACCATTCATTAAATAGGTACCAGACATGTACTTATATGGGCAATGCACTGTCCTAAGCGTTAGTTACAGAGTGAAATTGCCACCATTAGATTCATTCCTTTGAGAGAGACTTCACAAGTTCTTCAGAAGGTTCTGGGGAGGAACTGTACTTAAATTTCCTAGGAAAAAACTACTAGCTGTTGTTTCTTAGCTAAGACTCTCATCTCATCTCAGATAAACCAAACACCCAAAGACAGAAGTCTAACTCTGGAGAGTCAGATGAGTACAAGTCAGCCACATTTTAACAGAGAAACGAAGACCAGGGGAACAAAAAAAAATCTATGTGATTAAGGAAGGTCTGGTGGGAGTACAGGAAAACTTTTCTAGAGGAGCCAAAGGGTCTCTGGCCCTAGGGTAGGTATCCAGGAAAAGATGTTAGAGATACTACAGGGAAAGAAGAAAGCGGTCCCCCTGTATATAGCGTTGCCTTGGGGCAACTGGTGCCTGAGACTGCCTGTAAATCATTGTATGGGTATGGATGTGATTGAAACTTATGGATTAGCAGCAAATTACTGAGATTTCATGTGGCCTTCCCATAATACTCCAAAGTTAAAGGAGAAAAGAGTGCTGATTAACGCTGATGAAGACTCTCAAAGGCAGTCATTTCTTGAGTTTATGTCGTATTCTGCTTTTTCCTTTTTCTTAAATGTCATTGGGATACAAAGCATATCCTATTACATAGATTATTAGGAACAAATAGAATAGGCCAGGGGCAGTGGCTCATGCCTATAATCCCAGAACTTTGGGAGGCCAACGTGGGCAGATCACGAGGTCAAGAGATCAAGACCATCCTGGCCAACGTGGTGAAACCCCATCTCTACTAAAAATACAAAAATTAGCTGGGTGTGGCAGCACATGCCTGTAATCCCAGCTATTCAGGAGGTTGAGGCAAGAGAATTGCTTGAACCCAGGAGGCCAAAGTTGCAGTGAGCCGAGATAGTGCCACTGCACTCCATCCTGGCGACAGAGTTAGACTGCGTCTCAAAAAAAAAAAAATCAGAATATAAGCCAGTATCGAGAAAAAAAAAGACTAAGCATTGCATAATCTTCGAAATCATAAAAGGGAAACAGTCAGCCAAGCTGCAGAGTCCTAACTCAACAAGTCCTAACTTGGCAGCATGTATAATCATCATTGGAGCAAAGCTTCCTCCCCCAGGGAGAATATCTCAAGACAATGAATATAGAAATGACAAAGGGAGACACTATAAATCAATCCCTGAAACTACTGTGGCAGCTACAGCAATCCTGATCTAAATGCAAAGCTAATTTTATTGAAATTACAAGGCCGCTTTTTAAAGTCTACCCTGATCACCAATGGGAACAATTGTTTATTTATTGCAAGCTATCATAGCAAGACATGGGGAAAAGTTTTCCATCAGCCATCATACTGCTTTGGATAATCTTCAAGCTATGATGCTGCTGTTATGCAAAGATAATCATGACAATTAACATCCACATAGTCAACATTATTATAAAAGCAGCAGCTTGTGAAATGAACCAGTACTTACCATTATTATCAAATCCATGTGTAAATTCATGTCCAACAATTACTCCTATAGCACCATAACTCAGAGATCTATGGCATAAATACATAAATTGGAGACAATTACAAGCATGAATCTTAGAGCATAATCCTTTAATTTTTTTTCAATGGAAAGCCAAGATAAAATGCTTTCTATAGTAACCATGGTAATAATAATCTAATAACCAAACACATAAAGCTACAAAAAACTAAACATACCTTCCAATTGAAATAGACAAAGAAAATATAAATTCTAACATTGTCACTATGACCACATATGAACCTTAGCATCCTGCTCTGTGAAATTAGGGATGTGAAAGAGATGATTTCTAAAGTCCCTTTCAGCCCTAAGATTTCTATGATTTTATATCTGCTGTAGCTATGTATGTATGAACACCTAAAACAGGGCTTGAAAATATCCTGTCAGTGAACATATCATTTATTTTTTTATCTGGAAACTTGTTGAAAAGTCACTATAATCTTAGAAGTTAAATTGTTTTCCAAATGGAAACTTGTTGAAAAGTCATTATAATTTTAGAAGTTAAATTGTTTCCCAAATGTAGTCATAAAAAAGAAATAGAGCAGAGATTAAAAGGGATCACTCTGTTTTCAAAGGCAGTCACGTTCCTCTTTCTGTTATAGATAAGATGACAACTGAATAGCAAGCATTTGAAAAAGGTGCCACATTATTTCTCTTCACCTCTGAAGAAGCATGTGGTAGATTATCTATAAAAGGGGCCAACCACAATTCTACCCACCCCTGAATGCACATATACCCCCCTCCCATCAAGAGGCAATCAATTGCGCTCTGCTTAAATCTGGACTGGCCTTGAGACTTGCTATGACCACCAGAATGTAGTGGAAGGAGTCAGGTATAACTTCCAGGCTTTAAGAAACTTAGTAGCTTCCATTTTCCACCTTCTTGCAAGTCACTTGCAAAGAAGTTAACTATCTAGCTAGAGAGAATGAGGCCAAATGAGGCAAACAAGAAACCCCAGAAGTTGAGAGACTCTGAAGGAAAATAGAGAGGTCCTGGCAGGCCCCGCCATGAGAGCCAGCCCAACTGGGGCACAGACTGGTGAGTAAAGTCACGTTAGGTCCTCCAGCCCTACTTGGGTGACCCTGGCCAGCACCATACAGACCAGAGACCAGCTGTCTCAGCTCAGTCCTGCCCAAACTAAAGAATAATAAGCCAATAAATGGTTGCTTGATGGTGCTTTGTTACATAGCAAAGCATATTAAGAATATACGAAAATGCAAATCAAAACTACATTGAGATACCATCTCACGCCAGTTAGAATGGCAATCATTAAAAAATTTGGAGACAACAGATGCTGGAGAGGATGTGGAGAAATAGGAACACTTTTACACTGCTGGTGGGAGTATAAATTAGTTCAACATTGTGGAAGACAGTGTGGTGATTCCTCAAGGACCTAGAAATAGAAATTCTATTTGACCCAGCAATCCCATTACTGGGTATATATCCAAAGGATTATAAATCGTTCTACTATAAGGACACATGTACACGAATGTTCATTGCAGCACTGTTTACAATAGCAAAGACATGGAACCAACCCAAATGCCCATCGATGATAGACTGGACAGGGAAAATGTGGCACATATACATCATGGAATATTATGCAGCAATCAAAAACGATGAGTTCATGTCCTTTGTAGGAACATGGATGAACCTGGAGACCATCATTCTCAGCAAACTGACACAATAGAAAATGAAATACCGCATGTTCTTACTCATAGGTGGGTGTTGAACAATGAGAACACATGGACACATGGACACAGGGAGGGGAGCACTACACACTGGGGTCTCTTGGGGGGAATAGGGGGAAACACCAGGGGGGTGGGGAGTTGGGGAGAGATAGCATGGGGAGAAATGCCAGATATAGGTGAAGGAGAGGAAGGCAGCAAATCACACTGCCACCATGTGTACCTATGCAACTATCTTGCATGTTCTTCATATGTACCTCAAAACCGAAAATGCAATAAAAAAAATATACGAAGAAATCAATAATGGGGTTTCCATATGTGTGTCTGGGATTTTCTCTCTCAATATAAATTCTATTGAGGCCAATCCCTTATCTACTTGTTAATTGCTAAATCCTCTTTACCTAGTACAGATTAAGAAACTAACAATGATTCAACTAATTGATGAGTTAACTTTACCATCTCATGCAAGTGACTGATCTATATTTATCTGAATTTAGTCATTGAACCTATGGATGAGAATTACAGACCACTTAGAATCCTTATTGTGAAGAATCTCCATGAGATTTGCAGTTATGCTAAAAATATCTCACAGTTAGCTCCTGACATGCAACATCAAAGTCACCCAGCAAATAGATAGCACCCATAACTGGAAGGAATGGAAATTTTTGAAGCAACATGTTATTACAAGACATAATGATCCTTACCATACTAATTGTTTGTCTCAACTATACCCAAGGAAGTGTTGTATGATTTAATTTTTCCCCTTGGTGGCAATTCTTTCCCTTATTATTTCTTTCCTGTAAGGTAATTTGCATTTGAAAAAATGCTTCCTACTGTTTTTCCATCACTGCAAACCTTCATTAAAGAAGAGTGAAATTATGCATTTCAATCGTAGAACTATCATAGTAGTGTGGGACAAACTTGCAATTTTACATGGTGTTAATTTTTGCGGCAGTAGCTATCAGTGTGTAGAGTGCAGCATTTAGTTTTTCCAGGTCTCACAGCTCTGAGAATAAGTACTTGGTCCTCTACAATCCTCTGTCAATGCTGTGGACTGGATGGATTGAAGGCATGAACAGTGGAAACTTATAGAAATTGCTGTGCAATAAATGTCCCTTAAGAGAGGGGCTGCTCCAACAAGCTTCCTATTTGCAAAAGGTAATAGAGAATTCAGAAAGTGATTGAATCATTGTAAGTTTCAATTCTCAGTTATATAATGACAATCCTTTGGACAAGAGACAAAGAAAAAGTAATTTTATATGACTAAGCCTGACAATAATATTTCATAATATTAGATTCACATCCTCTATTTTATTAATGAAGAGTATTTACATTCACATGTCATATTAAAAATAAATAAACTCTCCCTTTTAAAATGCAACTTTGGCTGGCTGGTCAGAAACTGTAAGATTTCTTGCACTGAAGATCTAGTCTTCCAAAAATGAAATGGGGAAAACACCAATTTCACTACCTACTCAGTTTCTCTTTTGTTCTTATTACTCAATGGGTTTAACATGTACACAGAATTTGCTGTCAACAACAAAACTACTCTACTGCTGTCTGGACTAACCATGATCTCACACTGTTGTCAAGTAAGGACTGCCCTATGCCTGAATCATAAAAACAGAAACATTTCTGAGTTAGAAGTGCCTTACAGGTCATCTAATCCAAGTTCCAGAATGGAACCCCCCTAGAAAAACCCCTTCAAATGGTTATAAGACTCTGCTTGGGTATTTCCAATGACCAAGAGCTCATCCCCTTCTAAAGTAACCCATTCCCTCTTTGGACAAGTCTAAACATAATAGCTCTCCATAATGCTGATCTGAAATGTCTTTTCTATGGCTTCCATCTATTGGTCTAGTGCAGCCTCTAATTGAACACCTGCTGAATCTCCTGAATATAGTAAGTCATTCTCCCACCTTAACTTTCCTTCAAAAATATGCTGACAGTTATGAGGTTCCCTCTCAGGTGTTAAGTTCTTTCAACTCTTATTCTTCAGTCATGAATTCTAGATCAGCATTTCCCAAAACATAGGGGAGTTTGGGAACCTCTAGGTTTCGAAGGATGGTTACCAGAGTCTATGAAGGGTGGTGGGGGGCTGAGGACAGAAGTGGGGATGGTTAATGGTACAAAAAAGATAGCTATGTTAAACACATCCAAATAGGTTTCTTTCTTGCAGAAATTCTACAGAACTTTTATGCTGATAACTATTGTGATTCTCCAAAACTGAGGGAAGTAGAGGATGACTTACCTCTATTACTATTTCATGGAACAGACACTTTGGGAAATGTTGTCTTCAACCATTTACAGTCCTGATTCTCTCCTCTGGAAATAATTCAGCTTGTTCATGCCCATAATTAGACTTAACACTCAGATGAGGACTAAGGTGACCAGTGTGAGCAGAAAGGATACTAACTCCCTTGATTCTAGAGGCTCTCCATCTACTAATACAGAATAGATGAACTTATGGGAAGCCATCACACTGGACCGTGACTCCCATGTCTTTAGCATACTTATATTCCCAATGCCAAATACCTGAATGATACTTAATAGCTATTCATTCAGTGGATAAGGACATAGAAGTCTTTAGGAAAAAAATTCTCTTTCACACTCAAGTATTCACTATGACTTAGCCTAAGGTACAAACAAATAGACACTAACATCAACTCCTAGGTTTCTATGACCTTAGCTTTTATGTCAGAAAATCATGCTAACAGACCCAAGAAACAAATCACCTAATAACTTTCAAATCTAACCAGACTATTTCCTAACCACAATAATAGAAACTCAGTTAAATTGTTAACAATAAGCAGAATCAAAGAATTCTAGGACTTTTCTAGTTTGAAGGCAGCTTAAAGAATATTTAGCCTAAACCTTTTTTTTTTTTAGAAATATGTACATATTTCTAATGTTAAAAGTAGGGCAAATTGATTCCAAACATCTGAACACTTAAGAAAACTATGCAGAGGGACCAACTCGAGATGGCGTGGTGAGAACAACACAGGATTGAAGCTTTCGGTGAACGCACAGAGGGTGAGTCAGGGCCACATTTCCAGATGGATCTGTTGCCCACAGAATGGGGAAATTCCCAGGTATAAAAGAGACGTGGGACGCCAGCGCAGCAGTTTTGGCTGGTGCAGCCAGCGGCTGGTGAAGCTGGCAGCTGGCACTACAGAGCAGCGGCGCGCCACAGCACTCCGCACAAAGCGCACTGGTCTGGGTGCCCTGTTTAACCGGCAATCTGAGACTTGAGAGGGCAGATTGGCATATCCATCTGATTGAACGGGACTTGGACAGTGAGCCAGGCCAGGAGATTTCAGGGAAACGGC